GGGAGCTGGGGTAGGACTGCAGGCAGGTTCTCCATCGGCCATGGCAGTACCCGGAGGAAGGAGCTGAAGGAAATCCTCCTACAGACCAACAGCCCTGGCAGCACCTTGCGGTTTGCCACCACTCAGAAGACATCCAACAGCAGCAATCTCCTTGCAGGGCCGCACCAAGAGCAGAAGCCTGAGCAGAGTCCTGACCTGCTGCCCCTCGTCCTTGATCCCCTGGAGCACGCGTGGCTGCTGACGGTGGCCGAGGGCGATGCCGAAAGCATCATCAAGCTGCTGGACTTGGATCCCAGCCTGCTGAGCAGGAGAGACTTTGTGACGGGCTTCACCGCTCTCCACTGGCTTGCGAAGCATGGCCACCATGAGAGCCTCATCCAGGTCATCTCCCACGCCCAGAAGAAAGGCTATCCCGTCAACGTGAACATCCCCACAGCCAGCGGTGGGCTCACCCCCTTGCACCTGGCTGCCTTGCAGGGACATGAGGTGCTCATCAAAGTGCTGGTGGGAGCTTACGGGGCAGACACCAGCTGCAGGGACCACAATGGGCGCAAGGCTTGGCAGTACCTGAGGGCAGACACCTCCAGGGACCTGAAGGAGCTGGCAGGAGCCTTGGAGGAGGACTTGGTCCAGCTGCGCTCTCACAACACCAACAACAACTGTAAGTCATCCAAAGAGGCCAAGGCAGGGCAGGACTCCGTGGACTCTGGGGCCGAGGGGAAAGCCCAGCACCCCTGGAGCCTGTCGGCTCTCCGAGGCATTGTTAGACAGGCATTTGCTTTCTTCCAAGAGCACTGAAGCTCCTCTGCTCCCATTCACCTGTAAATCCATGCTGGATAGCAGCTGGAAGAGCCTGAAGGGAGCTGGGAACTTGGGTGCTTGAAACCCTGGCCAAGTGAGGATTAAACCACAGCACCTCAGCCACCCTGGGTCTCGTGTGGTCTTTGGGGCTGTGCTGGTGTGTGTGGGGAGCACCACGGCCATCGGAGCACAGACTAGGAACAGCCCTTCCAAAAAACTGCCTGTTGGCAGAGGGGCTTTTACCCCATGCCCAAGCTGATGGGAACTCCTTGCTGCAGCCCCTTGGTAGGGACTCACATGTCAGCTCTGCTGTGGGGAGCTGCTTCTCCAACACCCCGTGTGCCCATGAGAGGATGCTGACCCACCACATGTGGATCCCATGCTGGGGCTGTGGGTGGATGTTTGAGCTGCCTGTCCCAGGCTGCTGGCAGACTTCATGTGTGCCTGTAGGTGGGTCACACAGAAATTCAGTGACTTAGTTCTCCTACCTGTAAAATGAGATGTCTGAGACACTCAGCCCCATTGGGGACGGGGGCCAGAGCAGAGGAGGCAGCAAGGACACCAGTGGGGTGGCATGGGGTGGCTTCTGTGGCGACTGGAGTTCAGGAGCAACTCTGAAAAGATGATTCATTGCTCAGTACCATGGAAAAGGTATGTGAAGGCTGTGAGATCATCTTTATTGCTACTGAGGTCATGCTCAAAAATGAAACTGATAAATATCCCTGCAGCAGCAAAATGCCATGTGTATGTACTGGTCATTGCATTAAAAGGGCAAAGCCTCTGCTTGCCTGTTTGTGTTTTGTTCACCAAATGGAGCTCTGCCCATGATTTCAACTTGCTTTTTACATTCTTGAAGGCCAGGGCTGCTTAAAAATATCTTCAGAAAAACAATGTCCCCTTCCTCTTTTTCATCAGCACGAGACCATTCCTGCCTCCTTAAATAGCAGTCCCATTTGAGCAAGTGTCTCTCAGACAGGAACCGGGGAGTTTCTGTTCCCCTCACAGAGCAACAGCCCTTGCAAGACACACCTCGTTTGGGAAGGGAGTTGTGGTTTCTTTCCAGCTGCCTTTCTGGGGGTCTGCAGAGGTGGCCAAAGGACTTGAGATGATCTGGCCTGGCTGCACAGATGAATTTACATCTTGATGCAGAAAGATACACACGTTAACTTCCTCTGGGGAACCTGAGCCTGTGGGTTTCACAGACCCTGAGCCAACCCCAATTACATACAGACTGTGCTCTGAAATGCTACTTGGACACCCAGTCTGCAGTAGGTGACAAAGGGAAGAGCAGCCTGCACATGGGTGGATAGTGATCCAGGTGACTAGGTGAACATATAGATGTGTCTTTTTAATCTCTGAGGTCAGCAGTAGATACATACAAAACATGCTGGGAACGCATTCAGTGCCTGATCTACAGCAGTTTTGTAATGCTTTAGCTCTAATGGATTGAAGAGTATGGCAACATAGCTCCTCTTGGAACTGCTCTGTCCACATCCATGCCATGGGACAGCAGGTCTGGTCACAGCAGCACAAACTCCATGAACAGCACTGGTGTCAAGTTCTGGTAACCAAAGTGCTGTTGATGAGACAGGTGGGACTGACAAAATATTTTTTGTCCTGTTAGTCCTGTCACCCTTTCACAGCTGTCAGGGAAGGGACACGGGACTGCTCATACATCCGCCTCTGAGTAAGGCACAGAGTAAACAGTGGAATTAATGAGAATTGCCTTGAAGGAACCATTTCCTTGGCACTTGTACCTGCAGCTTAGTCACACCCCACCAGGAAACCTGGACTTCAATGTTCCATTCAAAGGTAAAATTTAGCTGGCAAATGCTGCACTTAAATAACACAAAATTATTTTTAGTACTTGATTCCCCTTGACAGGTAACAAAAATCCCTTAAAGGCAGTTTTTCCCCCATCTTTTGGTTGTGGATTTAAACCTGCATTCTGTGCTGAGACGAATTAGGCAGGGACTTCAGGAGCAGAACCAGAGCTCAGCTTCTCTGGGTGGTGTTACCACACATTCACCAATGACACCCCCCTGCCCTGCCTGGGTTCTTTCCCACTGAGCAACAAAAGGATCTTCTCCTGCTGCTGCATGTTGTGTTTGCCCCAAACCCCACACCACTTCCAGTGACCCCCCTCCTGTCTTGCACGGTTCATCTTCATACCTGCAGAAGGGCAGTTGGTTTGGATATACAGACACGTTTAAAAAAATATTTCTCAAGTACACAGTTGGCTCTAACTTTGCTTCTCACTCAAAAGCAACAGTGTATCCACCAAAATAATGTAGTAAAACATCCAAATTATTTTTTTCTTTAAAGCTTCTGTTGGTGTCTCAATTATCTCATTAGCCCAGTTCTGCAGAGATCCCTGATCCCCCCTGCAAGTCTCAGAGAGAGGAGAGGGCAAACAGAGCTGCCACAGGAACAACAGAAACCATTCATAACCAGGGGTTAAGATTCTGCAGAAGGCTGAGTTTATCCCAAGTTTAATTTGTACTAAATTTACTATGTGCTGTCCTTTAATGTCCAATTTGAAAAACAGATTGTCAAATGAGGAAAATAATACAAGGGGTTATTTTCCAAAGCAGCTCCTTAGTAGAAACTGCTTCCATCTGATAAAAATATCACAGTAAGGACAGTAATAGGGAGACTTTCTAATAAATAGTAATAAATTTTTCAATCTATTGCTCAGGAAAGCTTTCCCACAAATGCCAGGGAGAAAACTGTCTCTTTCCATTCTCAAGTCCATAAAATTACTGTTTTCCTCCTCAGCCAGATCCCCATAGACACAATTAAAGAGAAACTCTAGAGTAGCTTTGCCTGCCAACAGTGCTGCTGTGGAGAGGCTGGGGGACGTTCACTGGGCTCCAAGGCAGATCTCCAGTCCTCAGCAGTGCTGTTATTTCCCAACACTTGCCTCAAGAGCAAAGAGACTTCAAAATCATTGGGGTCAAAGTGTCTGCAGCATGTAAGCCTCTCTGGCAATGCTGTTTGCTGCTTTCCTGTTGCAGTGACTAACTGCTTCCCTCTGATAACGAAGGAGTCTAGACTCTGACCAGACAGGAAGAGAACCTACATGATACCTCTGCAGCGTCCTGAAGTTGGGAAAAATCCCAGCCTTGCTCACCCCAGCTCACAGAACCCTCCAGCACAGCTTAGGAGGGACAGATTGCCATGAGTGAGATGTCTGTTTGTTGCCATTTGCACGTGTGAACATGTGATGTGCCCAGTGTTATTTCCTACCAATCGCTATGCGAAGGAGGTAAATCTATTTACCTTCAATGTGAAGAGCAGCAACACAGGTGTGGCACCCTGAGGCTTCCTCAGGAAGCTGCCTCTCACGAACAGAACCACCACAGCAGCTGAACCCAGGAACCTTGGCAGCCCTCAGTGTCAGGATGGGCTTTGCACCGTCAGGGATTTCCTGCTGACTGGAGCACCTACCCCGGGTCAGCTCCGCAGAAAGGAGCGGAGCAGCCACGTCGGGCTGGGAGCAGAGCACAGCCACCTGCTCCACCTCCCCGAGGTAAATAAATGGTTCCACAGGCCCCAGCAGAAAATACCAGCATCAGGGAGCTGGAGTGACAACTGCTCTGAGCCATTTTATCTGTTTTTTCCTCTCCCACTTTTTTAAACAGCTGACTTGTCTTGAGCTACTACTGTCTGCAGAAAATGTTTTATATTAAGCTGCACCTGTGGTTGACATGAACTGACTTATCAAACCAATACAGAGCTCCAAAGCAAGCTCAGGTTCTCTCATATTCTAGGGAGCATGCAGAGATGATGTGCTACAGTTTACAGTACTGCATTTTGTAGGAGATAGATCTACTCACCCTTAGCAAAATTTTCTTTCATCCAGTTATTCCACTGCACCCACTCCCCAGCCAGGATTTTAATCACAGGCTCCAAGGGCTGCCCTGCCCCACATCCTACCTGGGAGCAGCTTCTCTAATCATTTTTTTTTTTCATTTTAACTCCTCTAAAATCAGTTCTGATTTTTACATCTTTTTTTTTTTTCTTTTAAAACTGGTACATTTTGCTCTCAAAGGTTTACAGCCAGTGAGTGACAAGGAAGACACAGCCAACTCTACCTGAAAAGAGCTGCCAGGGTTCCTCATACTAAGTGAGAACATACTCACAGGAATGTTATTTTTTATTCTGTTATGATCCCACCATATATATATACGAAATTATTTCAACCAAGTAGTTCAGGTCCATATTTATTAGTAAGCCTGTGCACTGTCAATGCTAATGGTGATGCCTGAAAGAAAGAACACTAATAGAACACAGTCTCCACGTTTCAGATGCAAGAAGAGATTTTCCCAGTTAACATCAACATCCCAGACCAGCTTATAAAAACCCCACACTGGGGAGTGCAGTCCAGCACCACAGAAGGAATGACTTGAGGGTGTATCAATCTGATGCAGAAAGACCAGTGTTCATTAGAGCTCCCAGGACAGTCTCCCTTACAAGCCCAGCTTGGTCCTCCTCCAGTGTCTCCTTTTGGAGTTGTACCTAAGACAAGAGCAGGGTAAATTAGCAAAGTGCACACACACATTTGTTCAAAACATGAAAGAAGAGCAGCACATGGAAAAGGTCTATCCCAAGAAATATCCATTTGTGAGCATGTACTTGTCCATGTTAAGAACAAACGTTTTCACCACGGTGCAGGTGAAACCGCAGACAGTGTTTGTAACAGAGTTGCTCTCAGCAGGAAAATGGCAGTGCTCCCACTGCAGGAAGCTCTGCAATTGCAGCCTGCTTTGGCACACAGCTCAGACACAGCTGATCACCAAGGTGCTCAAGTGCCACACGTCAAAAATTCATCATTTTGCCCCACGGTACAGTACTCCAAAGAACTGCAATTTAGCTAAAACGGAACCTCGTTGTAAGTACACGCCACCAAACTTGCCTAGAAAGAAACAAGTTGGGAGGAGTTACAGGAACAGAACCTGGCAATGCTGCCCAGTTTCACTACCTGAGCCAGCCACCTCTGCTGTGGCTCTCCTCACTGCTTAGGGCGAAGAGAGATAAAGAGGAGGAAAAATTCTGTTGCCTTAAAAAAGTCCAGACAAAGAAGTGGATGAGATAACAAGCTCTCTGACCAAACTATACAACAGCTTTTAACCAGAGGGTTCAGACAGGCACCACCCTCTGCACGCCCCACGTTGACCAAGACCGTCAGGAACAAACACACTACCAGGGTACAAAATCTGGAATTACCCACAAGTGCAGTTCAGGCTTTCGCTTTACATGTGCCATCACTGAACACCCGTGGGCCCTTGCAGAGCACTGGACAGAACGGCTACAGAAAGAAATGGCATGGAAACCCCACGGAAACACACACTTGCACTGCCACCCCTGCTTGGCCCTCACGGCCACAAAACCGCACTTTTGGAGGCATAAATGCCATCAGCTCCTCCTTCGGCCCGCACCGCCCGGGCCGCCTGAGCGCGCCCGTGCGGCCGCGGCCCCTCAAGACGCGCCAGCCGCGCTCGATACCTGATCTTATTGCCGGTTTTCATCCGGATCCATTGAGGGATGGGCCGGTTCTGCTTCTGCTTCTTGGCGAGGAAGCGCTTGATCTTAAACGTCTTGTGGGACGACTGCAAGAGAGCGCAGCGGTCAGTCCCTCACGGAGCCCCGGCACCGCCCCGCCAAGCCCGGGCGAGTCGCACCCGGGTCCCTCCCGCTCCCTCGCGGCCGCCTCGCCCCGACACCCCCGCGGCCGGCCCGCCGGGCCCCCCCAAACGCTGCGGCGGCGGTGCGCGATGCCGGAGCGCGGCGGATGGCGGCGGATTGCTCAGGGGGTCTCACCATGGCGCGGAGCGAAGCGACCTCCCGGCGACGGCGGCGGCAGAGGAGGCGGAAGGGGCGGGGCGGAGCGGCGCCGGCGGCGCCGCCACGGCGCCCCCTTGCGGCCAGGAGGACCCGCAAGCAGTGAGGGAACGGCGGCTGCGGACGAGCGAGTTTGTGCAGTTTTATTTGGGTTTAGTACAAAAAAAACAGCTATGGCTAAAATTCGCTAGCTTGAGAGGAGCTGCTACTGGCGAAGTCTCGTTCTGGGCTGTAAAACAATACTTCAAGTTATGAGGAAGCAGTTCCGAGAGGGCAGGAGTTGGGAAACGTTTCAGACTCTACAGAAGGGAGGATGCTGGAAAAGAACAGGATGCCCAAACCAGCTACATTTGATTAAAAAGAAGCATTTCAATGTAGGGAGACTTTACATGAGAATTTGTCAAGACATATTCCATTCTTAAGCCAGCTTATTCATACACTCCAACTTAGTTACTTTATCCAGAGAACCACTGAAGAGGAAGGTCTCTCCCTCCCTAACACTGTTACTGCACTGCCAGATGTTCTGCTCCTTACGTGCCAAAGTGCTCCTGTCCACTGGTACCTCAACAACCCCAGCCTGTATACCTGTCTCAGTGCTAGACTGACATAATTTAGCTTTCCCTGCCTCAGGCAGGAGCACCACGCAACATAGCAACACCTGTATTACGTCTGGGCAATTCCAAGCTTGCTCTGCCTAAGTGCATCCAACACTAGCTCCCATCGCCGTACAGTAGAGCTCTGGCTTTAGATCCAGGTGTCATCCCCTCCTGACCACAACTCATTTATTATCATAGTTAAGGCCATAAAGTCTTTCTATTTCGCAAAGATTCTCTTCCCTGTTGTAGTTAGATGCTGGGAAAATAAATTCAAATAACTGAAAATACAATGAGAACACATTTCAAATTCCGAATCTACAACTGAGGTTCTTTAACCAGAAACATCCAACAGCACAATGCCCCCTTTTCTTCCTTTGTTCCTTCTTCGCTTCGAAGGCACTTCTGGATTGCGTTGTACATGCTCTTTGGCTGCACAGACAGTCAGAACACATAAGGCTTGCATGCTAGTCACTCCTCTTCCTTCATGTGACTGGTCTCACTCTCTTGTTTCTTATCCACTCCCTGATCTGTGGGCTTTGCAGCACTGTCTTCATACTGACACAATCTGCTTCGGCTTCGGGCTCCTGGCTGGTACAGCTGCATTGCTGGGCGATCCTGAAACAAACCAGAACTGTTTAGACTCTTTCATAGCTCCCTGCTATCAGGGTTATTATGGCAGCAGTGGTATTAGAAATGGCTCAAATTCAAACTTTTCTGGGTGTTCTAAGTTAAATTACTCCACCGTGGTGGCAATGTAACTTCAAGTGTCTCAAATCAAGGTTGTCTCTGTTGTAAGGCAACATCCCTGTTCAAGCCACAAAGAACACTGCTCACAGTTGAAGTTATTTGTAGAGAGTTTCCTGTTGAGTTCAGCTCACTCTCAGAAAAGAGGCCAATTTCAAATCTTAAAAACCCTGAGTTTCATTTGTACCTGACAATGTCTTAAGTGACATAAAAAACATGCACAGTGATGCTGCAAAAACTAATTTGCTGACGATATAAAACTAAACTCAAGACATTTCTTGAGCCTACAGGACATGCCCTATTCTGCAAGTAGCAGTCTTGACACTGCTTTGGAGGAGCCTTTTCAGTCACTCTTCCACTTCGAGATGCATTTTCAGGCAGCAGAGATACTGATGCTCTACCAACACCTTAAAGATACAGCCCATGGCACAAGTCAGCAAATGAAAAGGTATCAGTGTCTTACAATTTAACCCATGGTATCTTGGCTTAATTCCTACTCAGTGACAAGAAATACCACAAATAATTTAGCAAAGTTCAGTGGATAAACAGGAAAAAAAAAAACAACTTTCTAGTAATGGCAGAGTTTGTTGCCAGAACAGGGACAATTTTCAACAGAGAAACCACATGGTTCTTTCCTTGAAGTCTTTTATCCTAAAAAACACAAACTGACCCCTATGAATCAACATATGAATTTAAAGAAATTCAGCACCTTGTTTCTGATACGATCTCTCTTAATTGTATCCTCTTTTTTATCATCTTTGGTTACTTTCTCAGATTTGTCCGTGCTGCTGGTAAAGTCTGTAAGATCACTTTTCTTTCCCTTTTCTCTGAGTAAGTCTCTCTCCTTTTTCACCTCTTCCTCTTTTCTTCTAAAAACCTTCTCTTTCTCATAGCGCTCTTTCTGCCTCCGACGCTCCTCTTCTTGGCGTCTCAGTTTCTCTCTCTGCGCTCTCTCATATTCTCTGTCTCTGTCAAAATCTCTATCTCGGTCCCTGTAGTCCTTTACACACTCATCTTCTGATCTGTATGAAAACAAAACTGAAAATTAAGCTCAAAAGATTCATCAAACAGAGCCGGGAGATCAATGTAATAGTGGTGTAAATGTGCAATAGGAGGACGACACACTGGCAGGTTCTAGGGAGCTCTTGGGCGGCTGTGACAACCCGAGTCATGCACGACAGCCAGAGAGGACACTGACCACTAGCACTTCCCAGCCTCCTACTTGCATAGCTGGTTGAGTCTCCTCTGGCTTTACAAAAACCTGAATTTCTGTCTCTCATCTCTATTTCTCACACGACAAAACTGAACCTCGAACAGATCACAGAGCTTTTGAGAATTACAATTTCCACTTTGACCTTTTCACAAGACCTTAGAGGGACTAGTAACTGGAGAACACCTCTCCTCTCACCGTGTTTATAATCATCATCTCATTGCAAGGACAGTGCTCACAGCCTGCTGCAGTCCCCTACACCTGGGCTTCTTTAGTGCAGTTCTCACACTGAGTTGCAAAAATATTAAAATTTGTCCACTAGTGAAGAATTTTCAGGTAATTCACAGAGCTTTCTGCAATCACAGGGATGTGCACTGCCACAGAGAGCACAGCCTGTGCCTTATATCAGAAAAAGCATTTAAAAGGAATTTCAAAACATTGACAAAGCAGAGCAGCCTAAGCCTCATTATGATCAGGAAACAAGTTATAGATACATATATATTTATAGCAAGTACTAAAATACTTTTTTGCCTTCTCTTCTTTTGTCTCCCCATCAGATCGTTTGGCAGATGCACTACTCGCAATTTTTTCCTCCCTCAGAGTCTCTTTTTCCAGTTTCTTGGATTTTTCTTTTCTCTCCAAGTCTTTTTCATCTTTTTCAGGCTTCTTAAGTAGCTACAAAGAAAACAGAAGTCTCAACTAAAAAGCTCACTCTAATACATGTTGTCTGGCACAACACCGAAATTGCATCAAAGGAACCACAGTCCAGTGAGAAGTGAACATTAAGGAAATATTACTGCAAACAGCAGCATTTCTAAAAGCTGGAGTGTATGAGTAAGCATTATTCACATAGCAGACTAGGATTTTCTGCTAAACCAGGCCATTTTAGAAAGCTTAAAAATAGTCTCCATTCCATAGTGAATTCACAATCCTGTTTACCACGGCATGTACAACAGTCACGTGACAAAAAGTTTAAATATTACTATGAAGCATTACAGCATGTAAACCTTTACATTGCCTACTATTGAATATTACAAAAAATTGGTAATTTACTAACACCAAACTCATGTGATTTTTCACACAATACTCAAAGCACATTTTGAGACTGATATACAAATAATAGGGGAAAGGGAGTGTAACAGTTTATAATAAAGAACTGTTCTAGACCTTAATCTTTGGTTCTTCTTTTGATCTGTCTCTTTCTTTTTCTGGGCATCTGTCTACTTTCTTCAATTTTTCTGCTTCTTTTCTCTTCCTTCTCTCCTCCTCTTTCCATTTTCTTCTCTCTTCTTCTCTTTGTCTTTTTCTTTCCAATTCTCTCCTCCTCCTCTCCTCTCTTTTTTCTTCTCTCAGTCTCTGTGTGTGTAAAAGCAAAGAGAAATAGTGTATCTCCACACCAAAAAACATCTCTTTAAGCCATCAAATAACTCACCTCAAAGCTGCCTCTACTATCAAAGAAAAAAACATCCTGTCACCTCTACTGTTCTTGTGAACCTGAACATGTTGCAGCAGTATTTTTTTCTTACTCATAAGCCTTGATTTGTACTGTCTTAAAAAGCCCAACCACAACACTGGCCTCAGCCTTTATCATTCTAATTTTCATTTAATCTGCCCCACCTCTGATTTTCTCCATCGCTAAAAGTTAAAGTAACAATATGTGCTAGGAGAAAGATCACCCACAAGGACCTCAGCTGTCAGTGCACTAAAAATGGAAGCATTAAAATGGAATCTGCTTTGGCAGTGCCACAAGAGACAATTTGCTGGGACCTGAATGTACACAAAGCACCACCATTCCTACAAGGACCAACATTCTAGTACTTTAAAATATGTGAACCAGGTGTTGACAAGTGAGTTGGGTCAAAAGATCATTCTTCAAAAGGAAGGGCATAAACACATCAATACACAAATTGCAATATCTACAACCATGCTTTAAATGAGCAAATTGTACTTGCAAACAAGAAGATTCTGGAGGTAAGTCTTACCTGTTTGTTTTTCAAGAAGTTCAATAAAGGAGTAGTCTTTTTAGCTAGAGGATATACAAAACAAATGTAAACAATTTGCCTTATCCCATACTGCAATACAACAAAACCCTGTATGAAGTGAAGCATCCTTATGGATTCCCCTGCCTGTCTCCTCTCACGTACAGCAATACTTTGAAATAAGTATTCCAAACCTATCTCTGAACAGTGGCAACTATTAGGATTCTATAAACTTCTTTAGGACACTAATATGATACCCAATACACCTCTGTGTACAGGGATACTCAGTCTGCATTAGGCTTTTCCCAGACTCGCTTGGTTTTAAAGATATTCCTGGAACATGCTTAAAAAGAGCAATCTGGTCATTTTTTGTAGTATTTTACCCAATCACATTATCTCTTAACTTGTGCCTGCGTGGAACATCACCACTCACAGCACTGTGCACTAAACATCACTGCATCTAATGAAATGCAGCCACTCCACAGCCTGGTCTGGCTAACAAACATCTGACCTGCAGCTGGCAACAGGAAGGAACTTTCTCACCTAAAACTTAAACCTAGAGAAGAATTTAGAGGATGGGAACAAAACAAAATATACACTGAATAATATTAGCCTAAAGGTTTAACAAATACTAAGCAGGCACCCAAAAGAATTCAGTCTCCTCCAGGTTGAGAAATCACAGCTTCAAATTACAAACCACGTGTTTCTTTGTGCTCTAGGAAAATATAACTATAGTACACAGATTTCCATACCTATTAGCTCTTTGTTTCTTGCCTCTATTTCCTCCAACAAAGTTTCAGGAGTGGAGGTTAATTTTTCATCATCTGCACTGTAACTTTCCAAAAACTTCTTGTATTCTGGATCTACAGGGAAGGGGAAAAGGAAGGGGAGGGGGGAAAAAAAGGGAAAAAGAAAAAAGATACATTGGAGCATGAAAAGCATTTGCATTATGCACTGCTGGAAGTCTGGGTTGGATTTACATAAGTTGGGTTGTTTATATGCCATCTTTTCATAAGCTGGCAGCTCTCAAATGAGCTGCTGCATTATGTTTGTCTGGGACAACCATTTAATAGACTTGCACCTCACAAAGCAGTGCCAATAAGCAAACATCCCATTGATGGAATTACAGTGTCCCAGTAAAAACATATTCAAATTACTGCTAAGATTTTCAATCTACACATGCAAAACAAAACTATCTTGCTGTTATACCATCTTCGATAGTTCCAGTTTTGGCATCCTTTTTCTTACTCTTCTTTTTTGCAGCTTTTTGGAAAGGTGCAAACTCAACTATGGCAGCATACTCCTGACCTGTTAAGAGGAAAGGGAGAAATACATTAAAATAGAGATGAAACAGATAGAAAATAGACCATATTGTCCATATCTAAAGCAGGAAGATAAGCCTCACAAGAAACATGCAATACTAGAAGAGATTATTTAGACAGCATAAAAAAATTCTTCCATTTTGAAAGCAATTTAATAAAAAAAAACCACCATAGAGACAGCAGAATTCATGAACTTGTAACCCTCCCAAACAAAGAAGAATATTATGGACAGAGCTTTGTCACACAGAACACCTGTCTGGATGAATTGTAAAACACATGCACTTGAATCAAAGCTCCAGGTGAGACCCTTTCACTGCCCAAGCCAACAGGAACTTTTAGTGCTGCCCAATATAAGCACTTCTGAAAGGCAAAATTTAAAACCATGAAACCTAACATGTTTAGAAAACAGGTAAGTGGTGACTAAATACTCGAATTTTTAACCAATTAATTAAACCAAATATGTTTCCTACAGATTACTGTCTCCAGAGCAGTCACTTTAACAACTTAATCTGCAAAGAAGCAGCTGCTCCTTTTACTGAATCAAGATGACTCACTCAGTTGTAAACTGAAACAAGCAACAATTTCAGGTAAAAACTGATCAAAAGATAAGTGACACTGTTGGAAGTGCACAGAACAGGTGAAGGGAGTAGCAGAGGGTGACATCAGTAACCTCAGCTTCATTTGTTTGTACACTGACAGCATGTACCTGCTTTCACTTTACAGACTTGATACTAAGGTATGACAGTGCAAACATTCACCTCAATATCAGGATTTATATCAACACCACTGCTGCCTTGTATACACCCATATGGATTTTACACACCATATACAAAATCCATTAAAAATATATCTATAAAAAAAGTCAATTTAAACTAGTTTCCACAAAGCATATGGAGTTTTCTTTGTTCTGTGAAATACTGCATAACATGCATTTAAGGCACTTAACCCGAACAAGCCAGAATTGGCTGCTCACCCCCACCCCTCCAACACTCAACCAGCACACGGCACAGACAGCGGGAAAGCAGCAACACACACTGAGTGCCATTCACTCACCTTTGTGATCGACGAAAACATAGCCGTCGAAGCGATCCCTGAAGAGGACTATGTCTTCCTGGTTCTTGAAGTTGATGTAGGCTCTGGAGAACATGTGCGGGTACAGGCTGCGGAGACACAAACCGAGGGCGCTCGGCTGACGGGGCGGCGGCGCCACCGGGGCCCGGGGGGCGGCAGCGGCGGCTCCCGGGAGCGCCCGGGCGGGGCCCGCGGCCGTACCTGGAGTCGTTGGCGAAGAACTCGAAGTAGTCGTGCTCGGGCAGGGGCTGCAGGTGCTCCTCCAGCTGCTCCTTCGTCAGGCTGGGCGGGAGCCGCCGAATCACCACCTGCGGCACGGCAGGACGGGCGGTCAGAGGGCAGCAGCGCCGCGGGGGCGGTACCGCGGCCTTCCCGTCCCGGGCGGCCCCGTTCTCCCCCGGCCCCCGCAGGCGGCCCCGTTACCGGGGGGAGGGCCCCGTTACGGGGGGGGGGGGGCCGTTCCTGAAGGGGTGGTTCCTGCTACCGCGATAGGGCCCGGTCCTGGGGTGCCCCGTTCCCGGGGGGTGCCC